GAAAGCACATAAATCTATAGGGGAAGGAAAGAGGGGTAGGGGTCGTCCTCGAAAGGGTTGGAAAGAGGGGGTAAAGGAGGTTTTGTGGGTGAGGGGCTTGGACTTCCAGCAAGCGTGCATGAGCGTGTTAGATAGGAGTGAATGGAGACGAATGATACTTGGGACCTGACGATCTGTTGGAGTGTGAGCAGGGTAATATTTAGTGAAGGGATTCAGGGAAACCGGTTATTTTCATATAGTCGGACTTGAGTCCTGGAAATGGGAAGTACAATGCCTGCACTTTAAAGGAGGGGTTTGGGATATTGGCAGTTTGGAGGGATGTGTTGTGTATCTCTATACGTATATGCTTTCTAAACTGTTGTATTCTGAGCACCTCTGCAAAGCAGTGATAATGTGTGAGTGTGGTGAAAGTGTTGAATAATGATGAAAGTATTTTCTTTTTGGGGATTTCTTTCTTTGTTTGGGTCACCCCCCCTGGGGGGGAGGGGGCCGACTTGTTGAAAAAAAAAAAAAAAAAATATATTTTATATATATATATATTAAAATATATAAATATATACACACACCCCTCTAAAGTTTCTTCTTTTTTTTTCCCTAGTTTTTGTTCTTGTTTTTTCCTCTTATCCCATAGGGAAGGGAAATAAAAACTCTTCCTCGGGTAAGCCATGCATGTCGAAAAAAGGGCGACAAAAATGCCGGGAGAAAGGGGCTAGTAACCCTTCTGAAAACATTACTAATGTTAAAAAGAAAACTTTTGTTTTTCTTTTCATTCCACCCTGCCTCTGTGGGATTTTGGCCCGGTTTGTTGAAAGAAAGAAAAAAGGGAAAATTTTGCGGGGCCGGGAACGGGGTGGTAAATAGTACTGCTGGGTATGGGGATGCTTTTTTAAGAAAAGGCTTTTTTTTAAAGGGAGGATGGGTTTTTCTGTATACAAATCAGTTTTTTGGGTTAATCCCAGATTTTTTGAAAAGACTAGTTTTGTATGGGGACAGATTTTTGTGATAAAATTGACTTTGCAAAATTGTAATACCCCCTGTTTTCCCAAAAAAGTTTTTGGGATAACTGCATGACCCCATACTTTTAGCCCTTTTTTTTTCCAAAATTTTTTTTAAATTTCCCGGCCCATCTCCCCGGGGTTTGGGGGGCCCCAAAAAAAGGGGAGAAAACCCTTTAAACCAATCTCTTTTAAAATCACTGTTTTTGCAAAAGCTTTCTGATAGCACTTTTCAAATTTTTCAGATGACCCCCCCCAAAACTGCAAACCCCCCACACCTTCAGAAGTACTACCCAATCTCCGGGGACTTGGGGAAATGCTAACCATTTTTCCCCCTCGAATCAGTTAAATAAATTTTTACCTTTTTTAAACACCGAAAAAACCATGTAAATGTCAAAAAAAACCCACCCCCTCCACTTTTTCCTATCTTTTGGGGCACTCTCATAAGCCCCTTTGGGGGTTGCCCCTACACTCGATCTTCTTTACCTACCCCCTCCCCCAACCTTTCCTAAAATGACCCCTACCTCTCCTCTCCATCCTAGTTTTATATTTATCCAAATCATCTTTTTTTTGTTCTAAACCTCTTTTAATTGTTCACACCCTTTTTTACAAAACCCCACCCCTGTTTTTTCCCAAAAAAATATTTTTGGTAACCCCATTTTTTCTACTCTGCAGGCTCTGAATTTTTCTCATAATATTGCACCACATATTTCTTTAAAAAACCCGCATTTTTGCACCCGCCACCACCTCCCCCCTTGCTATATTGTTTTAAAAAACTATGCTTCACATCCATATAACAAGTTAGTACCACTATACTCGGGTAAAATTCCTCCCCCTTCCCTTTTGTTTTTTCTTTTTGCCTTTATGGAGAAAGTTTTTTTTGGTACCACTTTTTTTTTCCTTTTCAGTTCTGTAGTTCACCTCATCTTTCATAGACCCATCCATCCTCCAAGTTCACTCCCAGATATCTGAACAACATTTACCTCCTTCATACTCCCTCCAATCTGATATCCTGTTACATTACTTAGACATTTTGTTACTCTTACCATCTTTCTCTTTCCTGTGTTCACTTTAAATGTCCCTTTACATTCCCTCCCAAATTCCTTAACCAGCCTTTTGCAATTTCTCTTCAGTCTCTCCCAAACAAACCTTGTCATTGGCAAAAAGACAACTGTGACAACTCCCACTTTGTATCCGATTTGTTATCTTTCAATCCCATGCACCTCCCAACACACTAGTGTTCACTTGTTTTACAACCCCGTCTATAAATATATTAGACAAACATGGTGACATCACACATCCCTGTCTAAGAACTACTTTTACTACCTGGAGTCTGCTTGGAGGGTATTCCGGTGGATCACTACCTGATCAACCAGGCTGTTACTGCTGGCCACATGTAGTCCAATATATGAACCACAGCCCGGCTGATCCAGCACCAACTTTGAGTATCTGAGAGGAGCTTATGATGACATTTCAGTCTGACTTGGACCATTAACAAAGTCACACTGTGTGGGTCATATGTGTATTGTTCCAATCACGGTATTGTGCCTTTTTGTTATTTGAGTATCTGTCCAGCTCCCTCTTGAAGGCAGCCAGGGGCCTATTGGTAATTCCCCTTATGCATGGTGGGAGGCTGTTGAACAGTCTTGGGCCCCGGACACTTATGGTGTTTTCTTAGTGTACCAATGACGCCCCTACTTCTGCATGCTCTAACCCGAGTCTCACTATCCACATAAAAATATTACTGCATTTAGTAACCTATCACTTGTATCAAGTATTTACACCATCTACCTCATTGCTTCTCTAGTCACCCTATAATGTGCCTTTTCTAAATCCATAAATGCAACAGAAAATGTCTACTTTTATGTATTGCTTACTTGTATGCTTCAGTGTAAACACTTGGTCAGCACATCCTCTACTCTTTCTAAAACCTTGTTCCTCTGCAGGCCTACTTCCTATGTTTAATTCTTTCAATCGTAACTCTGCCATACATCGTACTCGACAGGCTTACTCCTCTAATTCTTGCACTCTTTTATCTCCTTTTTCCCTTGTACAAAAGAACTATGCATGCTCTCTGCTAATCATTTAGTAACCTTTCCCCTTTCTTGCATATATTCAACAGATACACCAACCACTACAAAGCAACATCCCTACCTGCTGTCAGTATTTCTGTATAGAGCAGACACTTTTTTGTGACTATAGATTTTATTGAAAGAATTAGAGGTAAGACAGAATGTAGGATTGTGGATGAGCACGGAGGTTTTAGAGTGGGTAGGGGATGTGTAGATCAAGTGTTTACATTGAAGCATATATGTGAACAGTATTTAGATAAAGGTAGGGAAGTTTTCATTGCATTTATGGATTTAGAAAAGACATATGATAGAGTGGATAGGGGAGCAATGTGGCAGATGTTGCAAGTATATGGAATAGGTGGTAAGTTACTGAATGCTGTAAAGAGTTTTTATGAGGATAGTGAGGCTCAGGTTAGGGTGTGTAGAAGAGAGGGAGACTACTTCCCAGTAAAAGTAGGTCTTAGACAGGGATGTGTGATGTCACCATGGTTGTTTAATATATTTATAGATGGGGTTGTAAAAGAAGTAAATGCTAGGGTGTTCGGGAGAGGGGTGGGATTAAATTATGGGGAATTAAATACAGAATGGGAAGTGACACAGTTACTTTTTACTGATGATACTGTGCTTATGGGAGATTCTAAAGAAAAATTGCAAAGGTTAGTGGATGAGTTTGGGAGTGTGTGTAAAGGTAGAAAGTTGAAAGTGAACATAGAAAAGAGTAAGGTGATGAGGGTATCAAATGATTTAGATAAAGAAAAATTGGATATCAAATTGGGGAGGAGTATGGAAGAAGTGAATGTTTTCAGATATTTTGGAGTTGACGTGTCAGTGGATGGGTTTATAAAGGATGAGGTTAATCATAGAATTGATGAAGGAAAAAAGGTGAGTGGTGCACTGAGGTATGTGGAGGCAAAAAACGTTATCTATGGAGGCAAAGAAGGGAATGTATGAAAGTATAGTAGCACCAACACTCTTATATGGGTGTGAAGCTTGGGTTGTAAATGCTGCAGCGAGGAGGTGGTTGGAGGCAGTGGAGATGTCCTGTCTAAGAGCAATGTGTGGTGTAAATATTATGCAGAAAATTCGGTGTGTGGAAATTAGGAGGTGTGGAGTTAATAAAAGTATTAGTCAGAGGGCTGAAGAGGGGTTGTTGAGGTGGTTTGGTCATTTAGAGAGAATGGATCAAAGTAGAATGACATGGAGAGCATATAAATCTGTAGGGGAAGGAAGGCGGGGTAGGGGTCATCCTCGAAAAGGTTGGAGGGAAGGGGTAAAGGAGGTTTTGTGGGCGAGGGGCTTAAACTTATAGCAAGCGTGCGTGAGCGTGTTAGATAGGAGTGAATGGAGACGAATGGTATTTGGGACCTGACGAGCTGTTGGAGTGTGAGCAGGGTAATATTTGGTGAATGGATTCATTGGGTTATTTTATATAGTCGGACTTGAGTCCTGGAAATGGGAAGTACAATGCCTGCACTTTCAAGGAGAGGTTTAGGATATTGGCAGTCTGGAGGGATATGTTGTGTATCTTTATACGTATATACTTCTAAACTGTTGTATTCTGAGCATGTCTGCAAAAACAGTGATTATGTGTGAGCGAGGTGAAAGTGTTGAATGATGATGAAATTATTTTCTTTTTGGGGATTTTCTTTCTTTTTTGGGTCACCCTGCCTCGGTGGGAGACGGCCGACTTATTGAAAAAAAAAAAAATTATTACAGTATTCAAAAATATTTCAGTGAGGGGGGGGGGGTTTCTTGACTCAAGGATTTAAACTTGACCTGCCATTCCTTAAATGGAACCTGATTGCTTCCCATTTGCTACATAACCTGTACACTTCCTCATAAATATGATAATACTGTATGTTTCATATAGCAGGATAGATTTATAATGATATGATTTATAATGATTCTAAAAGCCCTCCTTAACTCTCATCAGGCAAACTAGGTGGTATGGATGCAACCACGACTATATGTCACCGATACACACCAGCAGAGCAACTCCGCGTTTTTATTGCTACGGCAGACATCATCGTTACCGCAGCTGGTCTTCCAGGTCTCATCACTGGAGACATGATCAAGCCAGGATGTGCCATATTAGATGTTGGAATTAATCGAATCAAAGATCCAGTTACAGGCAAACTCTCACTTGTAGGAGATTGTGATTTTGAAAGTAAATATAGATTCTTTGTGGGGTTTTGGGCAATATTGATCAAATCATGGTTTTACTCTGCATTAGTAAGAATATTGTAGATTTAGAACTGTATTGTACTATTAACTATTACAATGTCAGATCTTGTCTTTTTTTTTTTCATTATTTAAAAAGTCTTATATACTTTTTTTTTTTTTTTTTTCAACAAGTCGGCCGTCTCCCACCGAGGCAGGGTGACCCAAAAAAGAAAGAAAATCCCCAAAAAGAAAATACTTTCATCATCATTCAACACTTTCACCACACTCGCACATTATCACTGTTTTTGCAGAGGTGCTCAGAATACAACAGTCTAGAAGCATAAACATATAAAGATACACAACATATCCCTCCAAACTGCCAATATCCCAAACCCCTCCTTTAAAGTGCAGGCATTGTACTTCCCATTTCCAGGACTCAAGTCCGACTATATGAAAATAACCGGGTTTCCCTGAATCCCTTCACTAAATATTACCCTGCTCACACTCCAACAGATCGTCAGGTCCCAAGTACCATTCGTCTCCATTCACTCCTATCTAACACGCTCACGCACGCTTGCTGGAAGTCCAAGCCCCTTACCCACAAAACCTCCTTTACCCCTCTCTCCAACCCTTTCGAGGACGACCCCTACCCCGCCTTCCTTCCCCTATAGATTTATATGCTTTCCATGTCATTCTACTGTGATCCATTCTCTCTAAATGACCAAACCACCTCAACAACCCCTCTTCTGCCCTCTGACTAATACTTTTATTAACTCCACACCTTCTCCTAATTTCCACACTCCGAATTTTCTGCATAATATTTACACCACACATTGCCCTTAAACAGGACATCTCCGCTGCCTCCAACCGTCTCCTCGCTGCTGCATTTACCACCCAAGCTTCACACCCATATAAGAGTGTTGGTACTACTATACTTTCATACATTCCCTTCTTTGCCTCCATAGATAACGTTTTTTGACTCCACATATACCTCAACGCACCACTCACCTTTTTTCCCTCATCAATTCTATGATTAACCTCATCCTTCATAAATCCATCCGCGACACGTCAACTCCCAAGTATCTGAAAACATTCACTTCTTCCATACTCCTCCTCCCCAATTTGATATCCAATTTTTCTTTATCTAAATCATTTGACACCCTCATCACCTTACTCTTTTCTATGTTCACTTTCAACTTTCTACCTTTACACACATTCCCAACTCATCCACTAACCTTTGCAATTTTTCTTTAGAATCTCCCATAAGCACAGTATCATCAAAAAAAAGTAACTGTGTCAATTCCCATTTTGAATTTGATTCCCCATAATTAATCCCACCCCTCTCCCAAACACCCTAGCATTTACTTCCTTTACAACCCCATCTATAAATATATTAAACAACCATGGTGACATTACACATCCCTGTCTAAGACCTACTTTTACCGGGGAAGTAGTCTCCCTCTCTTCTACACACCCTAACCTGAGCCTCACTATCCTCATAAAAACTCTTTACAGCATTTAATAACTTACCACCTATTCCATATACTTGCAACATCTGCCACATTGCTCCTCTATCCACTCTATCATATGCCTTTTCTAAATCCATAAATGCAATAAAAACTTCCCTATCTTTATCTAAATACTGTTCACATATATGCTTCAATGTAAACACCTGATCTACACATCCCCTACCCACTCTAAAACCTCCTTGCTCATCCGCAATCCTACATTCTGTCTTACCTCTAATTCTTTCAATTATAACCCTACCGTACACTTTTCCTGGTATACTCAGTAAGCTTATTCCTCTATAATTTTTACAGTCTCTTTTGTCCCCTTTCCCTTTATATAAAGGGACTATACATGCTCTCTGCCAATCCCTAGGTACCTTCCCCTCTTTCATACATTTATTAAACAAAAGTAAACCCAAACCCCTCCAACACTATATCCCCCCCTGCTTTTAACATTTCTGTCATGATCCCATCAGTTCCAGCTGCTTTACCCCCTTTCATTTTACGTAATGCCTCACGTACCTCCCCACACTTACATTCTGCTCTTCTTCACTCCTAAAAGATGGTATACCTCCCTGACCAGTGCATGAAATTACTGCCTCTGTTTCTTCCTTAACATTTAAAAGTTCCTCAAAATATTCTCGCCATCTTCCCAATACCTCCATCTCCCCATCTACTAACTCCCCTACTCTGTTTTTAACTGACAAATCCATATTTTCCCTAGGCTTTCTTAACTTGTTTAACTCACTCCAAAATTTTTTCTTATTTTCTTATTTTCTTATATACACTGTAATTTAAGTCATGATGTCCATTGGTGTATTTTGTTGTATTTTGTCTAGGTACAGGACAGACCCACTTTACGGCGATTTGCTAATATGTATGGACATTTCTAATTACACCATAACATTCATTTATACGGCTCCCTGATTCGCTATTATGGTGTCTGCGCACCACTGTTTGTTTAGATCCTTTGTGAGCTTCACATCTGTTGATTATATCTGGAAACTTTCAAGTGTGTTAAAGTTATTGCATATTTTATATACGTATATGTATTCTGGTAAGTGTACTTGTGTGTTTCTGTACCTAAATAAACTTACACACTGTGCTGGCATGCAGGTACACATTAATATCACTAAGAGTGTCTCATTAGTGTTGAAGATGCAGTAATAAAAATAACTCTGGGGCACTTTAAATGTCATTCATTACATTATTTAAGACATATTCATTAATCCACCTACGATATTTTCAAAATTATATAAGAAACACTACATATCATATAAACATAATACATAAAGTCATAGCAGAACAAATTGACAAATATGAGAAGTGGTTGCCGGGCAGCTTGTAGTCCTGACCAAGAATTACATTTTCTCTAGTCCAACACCAGAGAGGCTGTGTACAGTATAGTATTGCTGGGAATAACTGTAGAAATATTCCTTTCATATGTCTTCACTCATATCATCATTTGCTCTCCTCTTCAAGGGGGGCTCCTTGGCATGGTGAAGAAGCTCTTGGTCTGAGGAATTAGACCTGTCGGTCTCCTTCCTCAGACCGAACCTAATTACCCCCCAATCCCCCGTTCCCTATCCCATCCTCCCCTTTTTCCTTTCCTCCTCCTCCTCCTCCTCCCCACCCCTCCCTTTTGCCCTTCCTTTTTGGCCTTTGGTTTTTTTTTTTTTTTTTTTTTCTCCGCAGGCACGCTAGTTCCTAGGTAGGGGAAAGGGTACTGGGGTCCATCCCATTCTGTTGAGGTTCTTGGCGGTGGCGTAGTTTGCCATGGAATCTGGATTGCCTGGGGATGTCCCGATCCCTCTCCGGTATCCCGGAGGGTGGCATTGGGTGTCTCTCGGGCGACGGGTGTATCTCTGGAAGCCACCTTTCGGATTCCGGGGGTGGTGGCCGAAGGAGGTATGCTTTGTGGCGGATTTCCGGCCGCCCTCTCTTTTGTCCACTGAGGTAGCTAGGCAGATGTGAGGTTGCTATCCCAGATTGCCGGTTTACTGGCATGATGGGTAGGGTATGGCACGAGTTCCATGCTGCATCTGCGCTACTTGCGGTGCTGAGGTCCTCTTGGGCACGGAGGGAGATTTCTGGCCCTTTCATTCCTCCTAGGAACTATCCCTCCCTGGTCCCCCCTTTTTTTCTTTTTTTTTTATTTTTTTCTTTTCTTTCTTTTTTTTTCTTAAAAACAAAAAGAAAGAAGTAACCTAACCATGGCAGCCCTAGTCCATGAACCTGCTACCCCTGGGCCCCTTCTTGATACCGCACCCCGTTCTGACCCCACCTTGTCTTTGGACCACTCTTCGGACACTCCTCATGCCTCTGTACCTCTTGCCGGTGCTGTTTCCTCACCCGCTTCAGGTACTGAGGCCTCGACTGACTCCTTCGATTTATCTGACCTTTGCTCTCCTCTGACTATGCTTCCGGCCTCTCCCTCTACGGTGTGGCAATTTTCGAATCGCCGACCCGTTCCACGTCGGACCAACTCTGGTCCCACGCCTAAATGCCAACGACAATTATCTGCTGATGATACTTCTCCACCTTCTCGTTCTTCTCAGAAAAGATCGACACGTCCTTCACTACCTTTCCACGCTCAGTTTCAGACTGCACAATGGACTAAATTCTTCACTTTACGACCCGACTTCCTCTACTGCCTATCTTTCTGACCACAGTATTGGCAAGGCACTCCTACGCCATGTTGGTAAAGATATTTCTTTTCATGCTCTTAAGAGCGGTACGCGCATCATCGCCGTACAGAATGCTACCCAGGCTCGTGAGCTTTCTCGTCTTTCCCATATCGATACTGTTCCTGTCACTATTGAAAAACATCATTCCCTCAATTCTTGTAGTGGTACCATCATTCTGCCCCATACCATAGTTCAACAAAATTTCCAGACATGTGGCACTGACATTCTTGAACAGCTGGAACTCCAAGATCTCCCAATCCTCAAGGTAGACACGTTCTTCCTGCCCGCGGGCGGAGACGATACCCTAGCAATGTGGCTCGTTTAACTTTTGACAGCCGTGAACTCCCATCCTCAGTTTATGTAGCAGGACATCGGTTACAAGTTCGAAAGGTGATCCCTACACCACAACAGTGTAGAAATTGCTGGCGATTTGGCCATCCAGCGAAATATTGCAGATCTATCGCCGAATGCCCAGTCTGTGGTGCCGATGACCATTCTAATACGTCTTGCAATCGACCTCCCTCTTGCCTTAATTGTCATGAGGCTCACCCTTCGTACTCTCGCCGTTGTCAAGTCTACTTAAACGAGCGGGAAATCCGTTACCTCAAAGAGGCAGAAGGTCTCCCTTATGCCATGGCAGTTTCTCATCTCCGCCTCCAAGGGAGACTACCTCGTGTTTCTTATTCCCGCGTTTCAAAATGTCCCCCCACTTCTGGTATCCCATCTTCTGCACCCACCTCTGTGGTTACCTCTCCTGTATCTAATTCTTTTGCTGTCCTCGGCTCAGACGTCCCTACTTCAACGCCTCA